CCTCCTCTTCCAGCTCTTCTGGGAGGACTCCAAGGTGTTCCCAGGCCAACCAAGAGACATAGTCTCTCCAGTGTGTCCTGGGTCTTCCCCGGGGTCTCCTCCCAGTTGGACATGCCCGAAGCACCTCCCTAGGGAGGCGTTCAGGGAGCATCCTTACCAGATGCCCAAACCATCTCAACTGGCTCCTCTTGACATGGAGGAGTAGCGGTTCTTCTCTGAGTCTCTCCTGATAACTGAACTTCTCACCCTCTAAGGGAGAGTCCAGCTACTCTGCAGAGGAAACTCATTTCAACCGCCTGTATCTATGATCTCACTCTTTCAGTCACTACCCAGAGTTCATGACCACAGGTGAGGGTAGAAACGTAGACCGACCGGTAAACAGAGAGCTTTGCCTTAAGCTCAGCTCCCTCTTCACCATAACAGACCGGTACAGAGCCCGCAATATTACAGATGCTGCACCATCTGTCCATCTCATGCTCCACTCTTCCCTCACTTGTGAACAAAACCCAGAGATACTTGAACTCCTCCACTTGAGGCAGAACTTCACTCTCGACCTGGAGAGAGCAGTCCACCCTTTTATTCACTGAGGACCATGGCCTCAGATTTGGAGGTGCTGATTCTCGGCCCAGATGCTTCACACTCGGCTGTGAACTGCTCCAGTGAGAGCTGAAGATCCCGGCACGATGACGCCAACAGGACCACATCATCTGCAAAGAGCAGAGATGGAATCCTGAGGCCACCGAAACGGAAACCCTCCACCCCCTGGCTGCACCGAGAAATTCTGTCCATAAAAGTTATGAACAGAATCTGTGACAACGAGCAGCCCTGGTGGAGTCCAACTCCCACCCTGAAGGGGTCTGACTTACTACCGGCAATGTGAACCAAACTCTCGCACCGCTTGTATAGGGACCGAACAGCCCGTAACAACGGGCCCCCTATCCCATACTCACGGAGCACCCCCCACAGTGTACCCCGAGGAACACGGTCGAATGCCTTCTCCAAGTCCACAAAACATATGTAGACTGGCTGGGCAAACTCCCATGATCCCTTGAGAACCCTAGTGAGGGTAAAGAGCTGATCCAGTGTTCCACGGCCAGGACAGAACCTGCATTGTTCCTCATCCATTCAGATAATTTAAATTTGTTGTCTCTAGGCAGAAACACGTTTTAAGGTTTTACAGAGGTTAGGACTTCACTGTGAGGAGAGAAGGCCGCGCTCAGTCAAAGGGTCTATGGGATGCAGACAGACAGAAACATGTTCAGATAAGTTTTCTTTGTTGTTTTGTTCTGTTTTGTGCTGTGTTGGCATTTATGTTCAGGCTATTGTTAGTGACTGTAGAATAATGACACCATAAATCTGTGTAAATCACTTTTCAAATCATATACATATTTATAAGAATAATTTAAAAAAGTTTTTCCTCCTATTTAACTTGTTTGATCTGGAGCATTTTGTGATGGCCCTTTATTTACTGAATATAACATTTCATTTAAATTTCACATAACATAAAAGAGAAAATACGAAGAGGACTGAACATTTTTGCAGCCCACAGTGTTTGGTAAAAAAATCTCTATTCAGCAAATATTAACTACCATTACTCCTCCTACATATTTCAACTTTCTCATTAACTACATATTTCAGCTTTCAGAAATATTTCCTGGAAAGCAGCATAATGATGCATGCTTAATAATCCAGGTAGAAAAAGCTAACAAAGTTAAATCAGGTCCTCTGGACGGATTAAAAAAAAAAAACTTGTTGAAACATTTTGTCTTTAATCCAAAAAACCGTCAGACTGACAAAGTCTTTTGGATTAAAGACGAAACATTTCAACAAGTTTTAAAAAAAAATCTGTCCAGAGGACCTGACTTAACTTTGTTACATAATAAATCTAATTAGCATTTGATAATAGTGGCTGTAAAACATCTGAAGCACAGACCTATAATGCATTAACCAAAGTTCTGGATGACACCGTAGCAAGAGTTCATCACATGGAATATGTAGTCTTGGGATTATTGCATTGTGTGTGGCTGGTGTATTTTATCAGTGCTGACATATTGATTACCTACATCACAGTTTTGTACATTGCTCTCTGACATGTGACATTATTATAGCTGGCAGCGCAGAGGGCATTAATCTGACGTTTTAAATTCCAGATCTTAAAAACAAGGTCAAAACTTTCACAACTTCAAGAAATACTACAGGCAGAACACTTGAAATGACAGCTGTTACAAAACCTGATACAGTAACGTGATAACATTAAAAAATGCTGATGAGGTTCATCTTATTAAATGTTTCGGCGCCGACCACGTTTGTTTCTCTGCACCCTTTGAAGTATTAATTGTGATATACCCAGAAAAACCTCTGATAACGCTGATAAGAAGGCAATAAATACACCGTCAGCATTACGCTGGGCAAATGTTAGAAGTAAAGTGTCCACTGGACAGCTAAATCACAGTCAGTCATGTGTTTTATAGTCTCATATGTTCATTTTTATTGTAGAAGTTTCAAATTAAACAACGGTGCAAAACATTTTTAGATGTCCATTCATCTAAATTTGGTCCACATTGTCAATGGATTAATTTATTTTTAATTACAAAATAATTTTACACCTTAGATGCGTTGAGGGTCCCTGTGTGTCACGTAAGCACAGTAAATATAAAATACAGAGAAAACACACCTGACAGAAGAGTGAATGCATGATTTCAAATGTGTGTATTCTGCTTATTTTTTCATTATTTCATATGTATTTTGTTGTATAATTAGAAAATGCTACTGGATGCCTTGAATTTCCCTCTAGGATTAATAAAGTATCTATCTATCTGATAACATTGTGTCATTCATATTCCCTTAATTTAGTTTTGTGAACATCTTCAATCCTAACCCACTGTATGGTTGTGGACAAAAGTCTCAAATTCAAGTTATTGATTAAAATATGTCCAACTGTCTTCACAATAACTTTAATGACAGCTTATTGCATCTGAAACGCCGGCTGTTAGTTGAAATCACACTTTTATTCTCTGTTGTTTGTTAAAACTCAAACACAGAGACACATTTAAAAGGCTGTTTCCAGAGGGGAGGGAGGAGGGAGCTATGACTTCCCAGTAAATTGGCCAGGATGTCTTATTTGAAAAGTTTCTGTTAGCACAATATCTCATGAACCATTGAGCAGATATTGATGAAGCTTACAGAAAATAAAACAGCTAACTGAATGGTAAGGGTCATTTTTTGACCATAACTCAATCAATTGGACAGATATTGAGCTAAAATATGGTGTGGAAGTCCCTGAGAGTCATCTCTAGGACAGATCCTCAGTAATGTGAACGCCGAGGAACTTGAAGCTGCTGAATTGCTCCACCTCAGGGTTGTTTTTGTTGATGGTGGAGTGCTGGCCTCCACGCTGTTTCCTGAAGTCCACTTTCATTTCCTTTGTTTTCCTGACATTTAGAGAGAGGTTATTGTCCTGACACCCGCTGGTCAGTGATTTCACCTCATCTCTATAGGCACTCTTGTCGTTGTTGGTGATGAGGCCCAAGATGGTGGTGTCATCAGCATACTTAAGGATGATGTTAGAGCTGTGCTTGGCGGTACAGTCATGTGTAAATAGTGAGTACAGGAGTGGACTGAGGACACAGCCCTGAGGTGTACCGGTGCTGAGGACTAGTGTGGAGGAGAGGTGACTGCCGATTCTCACTGCCTGTGGTTTGTTGTTGAGGAAGATCACACACCCAGAGTGCTAACAGATCCCACAACATGCATATTTAAAACTTTGACACTCAGTGCAGCGGACAATATGCATTCTGTCAAGGAAGGCTAGTTTAAATATACATTAAGGAGAGGACACGCTTCAATAAGTTGAGTTGTGACTGAGCTGTTCTCAGTCAAATCAATAAAATCAACTGTAAAATGCTATCAGCAGGTGATTCTCTCACTCCAACATTGCAGTATTTTTCAGTCTGAAATGGTGGTGCCTAATCCTGGTCCTTGAGGGCCACTATCATGCATGATTTAGAGACGATTCACTGCTTTGACACACTCGATTTGGACAAATAAATGATTAACAGGCTTCTGAAGAATTTGAAGAAATGCAGAAAATCATGATATAACTAAAACATGCAGAACAGTGGCACTTCAGATCCAAAATTGGGCATAAATACTGATATAATATATGAAAAAAGCAAAATAAAAAGTGAAATTCAATTATTTTTGTTTTGGTTGTGTGCTCATTAAGGGAACAAACATAAATGTATATTGGAAATCAAGTACTGTAGGTGTGTTAATATTGTACTTGAACTAAAGGCAAATCTCATTTAAAGAAACAAATCTTACATTAACGCAAAAAAATCTAAAAATAAATATCCTTCCAAGTCACGCACCTTTATTATTTCCCAAGAATGGAAAAGCCACACTTTATTACACCAGCGTGTTAACAATTGACTGCTCTGAGACCAACAACAAACACTGAGCAGGACGTTCCCTTTTCTCCAAGAAAAGGAGTTGTGTCCTTATCAAGGATAGGCTGTTTTAAGATTTTATTATGTTCAGTCCAAATAAAGAAACATAATCTCTATTTATAATCTAGATGTGAAACTTTTCCATTTAACCAGTTTAACCCCTGCTGTAGTCCAGAGTATTTTGATACATTGTGCCAAAAATACAGGGGGGTGGGGGGGGGGCTTTAAAAGACAATATTTTTATCCATACAGTAATTATTTTGTTTAAAAGACACAAAAAAATTTTTGTCATTTGCATGATGAAGTTACTTCATCAGACACTGACAACATTTGTACAAAATTACCAAGTGCTGCAAACAACAAATAAATAAATTAAACAAAAAGCAAATAATTTGTACTTTTTTTAGATAGTTTTACCTTTTTAAAATACAGTGCTTTGTTGTTTTAAGAACATTTTCTTCTTGTGAAACTATAACAGTTTAAATTTATATTTAAGTTGAGCTTTTGCGTTTTGAAGGAGATAACAAAACTAAACGCTACCAGCAAGACAAATGGTGCTGGCAGACTGACATTTTGTTGGTTTTGGTCTCTTAATGGGATCTGCTGACAAAAACAAAGATAACTTTTTGTTTCTCCTAATATTTTCAGGTAGATTGCAATAAAAACAAGAAGTCACCACATAAATATTTAAAAAATTGTTAGTTTTTGTGCCACATTTTGTTTCAGACACAAACACACACATAATAAATATAAACCTCAAAGCGGGGTCATTTTAAGGCTGTTTAGATCAATTTTCATCTCATTTTCTACTTCTGTTTCTGCGCTCATCACAGGGTTATCATACGCTGCTATGTGTCCATTTCTTGAACTTTCCACACACTCTTGTGCTTCCTGTTCTTGATCATGTGCAACTTGGCAGCACTTGCAGCAGCAGCAGCATTTGGTGGCGATAACATCGACCACTTTATCCCAGGGAGCCAGGGAATGGGCCCACAGGGGCAGAAAGTCCCAGGTTCGCAGCGCTGCAGGCAGGCACCCTGGTTTTCGTTTCTGCAGCACATTAATCACTATGATGACGATTAACACGACTAGTAGAGGAACACCAACACCCACCAGTACCTGCCAACCAGCCAGGGACAGGCTGAAGACTAAGAGTGGTAAGAAGAAGAAGCAGCTGATGATGTAGACAGCAGCAAACCAGCGGTAAGAGGCCGTGATGTTCCCCAGACTTTTAGCCAGCCTGATGGGGAGGCGGGTGAAGGGGATGGGATACCACAGAATGATGCCAGAGATGTTGAACAGGAAGTGGACTAGAGCAATCTGAGGGAAACAATAGAAATTGGTTTTATTTACACTGAACAAAAGTATAAATGCAAAACTTTTGTTTTTGCTTTCATTTTTCACGAGCTGAATTTCCTGGTACCACCTACCGAGTAAAAACAAACCAGCTAAATGAAATAAGTAATTAAGTAGCCTTTGGCGATCAACAGGAAGTGCTGTATTCCAAGAAATGAGGATCTGTGTGGTGTTCATTTCCAATCTGGTAAGTTTGATTCTTAATTTTTGAGAGAGAAAATTGTAAAATAATGAACATATTTTATATTTCCTATATTATATTTCTTTCTTGGAGGCATGGTGGCGCATTTGGTAGAGCTGCCGCCTCTGAATCTTGGCCGGGGGTGGAGTTTGAATGTTAAATGGGAATGGTAAATGGACTGTACTTATATAGTGCCTTTCTATCATGTCAAGCTACTCAAAGCGCTTTACATTACAATCTGTGCCCTCATTTACCCATTCACACAGCACTCTACTAGATCTCTACAAAACTTATTGAACAAATCATTCTAAAGAGTCTAATCAGTGCTTTATCACATTCATACACCGATGGGACACATATCGGAGGCAATGAGGGGTTAAGTATCTTGTCCAGGGACACTTCAGAATGTGGCTGCTGGTGAAATCGAAACCCCAACTCTCGCATTGGAGGACGACTGCTCTAACCACTCAGCCACAGCCGTGCATGCGTGGGTTTTCTCCGGGTACGCCAGTTTCCTCCCACAGACCAAAAACATGCATGTTAGGCTGATTGGTGACTCTAAATTGTCCCTGGATGGGAGTGAGAGAGTGAATGGTTGTTTGCCTCGTTTGTCTCTATGTGTCCCTGTGATGGACTGGAGATCTGTCCAGGGTGTTCCCCGCCTCTCGCACAGTGACTTCTAGATATGGGCATGAGTTACCCCGCAACCCAAAAAGGAAGAACCGGGTAAAAGATAATGAATGGATGGATATATTTCTGGTGACTTGTAGACCTTCAGTGACTCTTTGGTGAACAAAGCCAGAGATTCTATCAGATCCTCTCAAATATTATTGAAACCAATGTTTATCCAGAATGTTGGGACGCTCTTCCTGGAGAGCTTTAACCACATCCCAGCTGAGGTGGGAGACATTGATGCCGAGTGGGCCATGTTCCGTGCCTCAATTATTGAAGTGACTGCTTTGAGCTGTGACTGCAAGGTTGTCGGTGCTTCTAGCGGTGGCCATCCTCGAACTCAGTGGTGGGCACCACAGAGTTGTGGTATTCACCATTAGGGAAGCTATCAAGCTGAAAAAGGAGTCTTATCAGTCCTTGTTGACTGGTGGGACTCCAGAGGCAAGTGAAGAGTACCGGGCCAAGTGGTCTGCAGCCTTGGCTGTTGCTGAGGCAAAAGCTCGGATGTGGGAGGAGTTAAGTGAGGCCTTGGATAGAGACTCTCGGTCAGCTCCGAAGAGATTCTTGCAAATCATCTGGTGGCTGAGGAGGGTAAAGCAGCTCTTTACTAACACTGTGTTCAGTGAAGGTGGTGTGCTGTTGATCTCAACCAGTGATGTCATCGGGAGGCCGAAGGAATACTTCTTGGACCTTCTCAATCCCACCGGCATGTCTTCCATGGATGAAACGGAGTCAGGGGACTTTGGGGTTGGTTTGTTCATAACCATGGCTGAGGACGCCAATGTAGTTAAAAAGTTCTGGAGCAGCAGGGCTCCGGGAGTGGATGAGATTTGCCATGATTTCCTTAAGGCTCTGGATGTTGTGCAGCTGTCTTGGTTGACATACCTTTGCAACAGCGCGTGGGCATCGGGAGCAGTGCCACTGGATTGGTAGACTGGGGTGGTGGTTCCCCTCTTCAAAAAGGGGGACTTGACAGTGTCCCAATTATAGGGGCATAACTCTCCTTAGCCTTCCTGGTAAAGTCTATTCGGGGTTACTGGAGAAGCAAGTCTGATCGTTGGTCGAACCTCAGATCCAGGAGGAACAATGTGGGTTACGTCCTGGCCGTGGAACACTGGACAAGCTCTTTACCCTCACTAGGATCCTGGAGGGGTCATGGGAGTTTGCCCATTCAGTCTGCATGTGTTTTGTGGACTTGGAGAAGACATTCAACCGTGTTCCTCAAGGTACACTGTGTGGGGAGCTCTGTGAGTATGGGAATGGGGGCCCGTTACTACGAGCTGTTTGGTACAACTTTACAAACGGCCCCTTAGTATCCTTCCAGAAGAGCTGGAAGAGGTGGCTGGGGAAAGAGAGGTCTTGGCCTCCCCACTCAAACTGCTGCCCCCACGACCTGACTTCCAACCAAGCGGAAGAATGTATGCAAGTATGTATATATGCAAGTATGTATGTATGCAAGTATGTGTGTATGCAAGTATGTATGTATGCAAGTATGTATGTATGTATGTATGTATGTATGTATGTATGTATGTATGTA